GTTGTGACCACTGAGTCACAGGCCTTGGCTCTTAGTTTCGCAATATGGGATTAAGCTACAGCTTGATGTTTAGGTCAGAATTGTACTACTACACATTCAAACAGTTTTGTCATCTGTGCTGATTTTTTGTCACTGCTGAGAAAGATGTATTGGTCTCCCTCAGCTTCAGTACTTTCAAAAGGTTGTCCTAATGTTCTTGCATTTTCTTAATGATTTTTGACACTGTTTCCTCTCAAAAAGGTTTAGAATAAAATAGAAAAATCTGGAAGGTCAGGACAGGGAAAGATTTCTGCTTATTTCTCACTTCCCTTTCCCCAGGATGCGCACAAGCAGACTGTGTGTGCAGTTGCTGGTTTTGCAAAGTCAGATGACATCCTTTCTTCTTCCTCCTAGAAGCAAAGACCGTGTAAAATGAAATTTTCATTCCTACCTTCTCATCTTACTGCCTTTCTGTTCTTGGATAAATACGAGATGGTGAACGATGGTTCCTGTTGACCTGCTAAGAGACGTGCCTCCAGAAGGCCTGCAGCACGTAGAGTAATTGAAAGCCTTGAATTCAAATGAAAGTTGTAGCACTGCTCCTTCCTCAGTTGAGGCAAAAGGTACTCCCCGAGCACTCCGCCTTGCTCATTGCCCACATGAACCAGCTAGTGTGGTGGCTGTAGCATAACATCTGCACTACGTTTGCAGATATTGGAAGGTAGATAGTGAACAAAGCAAAGGCTTGCAAAGGGGAGCAGGATAAACAGTTAATCCCTTCAGTTGTAGTTTTTCTGAGTAAATTGGGCTAGTCCCTTAAGGCTAACTGTTGTTTTTAATGCTTTTGTCCCTGGGTTTTTAGACCCTGGTATGAGCTGGTCTGCCTTGTCTCCCTTGCAGGCAAGTGTGGGGGGGAATGTTCCAACTGAGAGCAGTACAATGCTGCATAACCTGGAAAAAATTGATGCAGGACATCTGACAGCATCCGTCTTAAACCTACGGGCTGCTTCTGATTTCAACCTCTGACTGCTTCAGTTCCCCAGCTACCGAAAGGGCTAATGATAGTTTGTTAATAAGGTGTTGTGAATGTTGTTTGAAGCAGCTGAATTTCTAGATTAAAAACAAGCCATAAGGCTCAGTGTAGGAAGTTCACAGCTGCCTCGTACTGCCTGGCACCCTTCCCCAGGCAGCTGTCTGGCCGGAGTCTGAGTCAGAGGGATCTTTGGTCAGGTGAGGTCATTCCTTGTGGCTGCCGAATGATGGGAGACTCGGGAGGAGACTCCAAAGTCTGGGCAGCAGCTCCTTCCCGAGTGACACCGTGCAGCAATGGCCTGGTGTTCGCTGTGTGATAGGGACGGAGTCGCAGTGCAGGACTCCCTCCCTGCCTGCGTCCTTCCTTCCTCCACCCCTATGGCCTGTGGGGGAAAACAGCGTGGCTGTGTTACAGGCTTGGGGGTAGCACAGGGACACAAGCTCCGGCTGGGGAAATGCTTTGATCTCAGTATTTCCTAACATGGGAGTGGCTGATTTTATTTTTTTTTTTTAAGCTACATTAAAGGGACATGGAAGCCTCATTGTGTATTCCTAAATTTCAAGATGACAAACTGAGTAGGTGGGGAACTGCTAGCGTATTGTGCTGTACTGAGACTTACGTTTTCCTTGAAGCTGAAAGCTTCCATCTGTTGTAGTTTACCACACCTTAAACTGGTTCCGCCACTAATGCATTGTCACTTAACACACTGGCCGGTGCTAAAGGCAGGAGACAGACCTGCCTTGGGCTGGTATGTTGTTAATCTATTGTAAGTTACAAAGGGGAAGGTTGTCCTGTAGGTGCTGACTCTCCTCCCAAGTCCTTCAAACATGATGCTTTTCTGCTTGTCCCAGTCTTGTTCCCCTCACTTACACCTCTGGACACCAGGCGTCTGGTCCTGGCAGTTCTAGTTCTAGTCTCATAACAACTTTATTTCAAGACCAAGAATTCCAGGGCCTTTTTAGCAATGTATTTTCTCTGCCCTGATTCAGGAAGCAGCTGAATCACCTGGGCTGACAATTTAAATGGCAGGTGCCTGCCCTCCTCTTCTGGAAGATTCTGTTTAGGGCAATAGAAACATTTCTGAGAATGGGGGAAAGGAAAGAGGTATTTAATAACCCTGAGGGAGCTGTGTTTAATATGGCAAATTTCAAGTTGAGTATTCAGTAAGAAGCTGGTAGGGTTTGATAATGGGCAGCTGTAATAACAGACACTATTACCAGACCTATTCCATAAGCCTTACTCACAGAGTTGTAATGACATCAATTTGCTTAAAACATCCAAGTGTGGTGCCAGAGAATTTATAGCTTGTTTAGTTACCATGACGATTCAAAGTTCATGAATGTGTTATCTTCCATTTGTTGGCTTTGCTCTTCTGCTGTTTTTTTCTCTTCGCTTCCACAGTGGCTCATGTAACTAGTGTTTACTTTAACCATTTTTAAATTACGTTTAAAAAAGGAGTGAGGAGAGGTGTGGGTGTTCATTGTAGTGCCAATTAATGTTTACTGAGAGTGGAATTAGACCCCATCTGAGTTTGCCTTTGGTATGTTATTGAAATAGGATTAATAGAGAAACAGGGTTTTAGAGAATTTAACTGTAGGATGTTAGCTGTGCCACTGTTAAAGATTTGGAAGGAGACAAACACTTCATTGAGAGAGGCAGGCTGAGACCTTAAGCCTGTTCCACCTGACCCTGTGGTATCTAAGGAAAAAGAGCAGGGCAAGCCTCCTTATCCCTAGTGTCCTCGCAGCTCAGGAGAGCTGAGGCTGATGTGATCGTTTCTTCTTGTGTCTCCTTCTGGCTGCTTCTGGAGATGACATTTGGCTAGGCAGACCTTTGGTCTGACAGAGTACAATTGCTTTTATATTCTTGACCCTGATGGGATTTTACTGTGTACTTAAGAACATGACCGACAAAGGCAAGGCTAAGTGATCCCTGTTGAGTTCAGTAGGTGTGAATGATCCTTTACTCCTCCAGTGGAGTAGTGCAAACTCTTTGCCACTCTTAGGTTTGGCAACTTGCAGACAGTATCCATACTGTCTTCCTGGAACAACTTTACAGCATGCTCCCCTCAATTTACAGGTCCTTAGGATGGGCTGCTTTTCCCTGTCCTCTTTCCTTGTCTGACCCTTCCCTGCAGTAAGTTGTTAGAGGAAGGCTCAAAAAAGGCAGAACTCAAACAAGAAACTAAACTCAACCCCTTACTTCCTGCTTTTGTTCAGTGCCAAAAGCACAGCAGGAACTGTGTCCCTGCAAGAGACCAGGCCTGCTATTTTTCCTTACTTTGCTCTTTGCTGCTGTCTTCCTGTAGAGATGGAGTGGATTGGGAAATCTTTGGTTCCCCCACACCATGAAAAGAAATCTAATCCTCCAGCAATAGGAGAGCAGTCGCCTGTGTATTGCGCTCTAAGGAAGTTAAAGTATGGCAGACTTTGGAGGCTGTATTTGTAAAATTATTTCTGTGAAAGTGATTATTGCATTATTTAGTGCATATTTATCCTTGTCACACACAGCCTTAGCAGCACCTCACATAACATCTTCAGTGATCTTACAGCCATCTCTCCTATGACCCCTGCCTATAGTTATCACAACCACAGGGTCTCCTACCACACTTGTGGAGCTTCTTTCTATCTTGTTCCCCCAGCAGAAGGTCTGATCTTGATTTTGTGGCAGGTCAGCAAACCGTATGAAAGCAGCTGTACTGGGCCAGACCAAAGATCTATTCAGCCAAATGTCAAATCCCAATGGCCACCAAAAGCAGACACAAGAAGAGAGCGAGAGCAGGCAAACAAGGTATTTTCCCCTTCCACTCTCCAGTAGTATTGAGCTTATGAACTTCTTTTGCTGGTGTAGTTTCCATGAATTAGTATCCTTCAATGGATTCCCTTTGATGGAAATGCCCATTATCCTCTTAAATTCATGTGAGCTTTTAGTATCCGTAATGCCCTTTGGTAAGAACTTCAAATTTCAACTACATGTTGAGCTATCTGTCACTACCCCTAAATTCCACTCCTAGTGTTAATAGTCAGCTCACAGCCCAGATGTGAGGCTGGATTATCCTCTCTGCCAAACTCGTTACTTTCCACTTATCCATTTGTTATTTCACCTGTTTTTACATCCAGTGTTGTAAGCTCCTTCTGCAACTCTTCACAGGCAGCCCTGGTCCCCTGAATAATTTCGTATGATCAGCACAATTTATCACCGCACTGATCAACAGGCTAACCCTTAGGCCACATCTTGAAAGACAGCTCTTTTGTTTGGGTAAACGCTGTCAACCTGCAAAAGCAGGGAATCCTCATTGTCCACCACAAGGTCAGAAAGCCACAGGATTTCCCAGTGCCTTCGGCGTAAAAAAACAAGTTCTAAAGCTCAAGATGCATCAGGCCTCACAACTCCTTCAAGGATGTCGAGAAAGCCAGGAGTCACTTTTAGTCAAGTTTGACACCCGTTTCCTGAGCGCTTCTTAAACAACTAAATTTAACCAATTTTGCCATCAGGGTTGCTTAGTCTACTATCACTGTAATGGCTACCTCACTCATGTCTCATCCTTGAAATGAGTGTTACTAAATACAATGAAAAGTAAAAAGTAAGTATTTTGAGAAGAACCAGCTTGACTTTACCCAAAGGACTGCTGCTGTTAATGCCTTTACCAGCTGTGTTCCTGGAAAGCAGTATGTCAAAAGCTGCAGCAACAGAACAAACTTTTGTATTCAATAGTCTTTTAATTAAGAAACCAATCACACGAGGAAGCATACAGAACACAGTTTGTGACAAACGGTGTGTTACAGTGCTTTCTGGTACAAATATCATTTACAGCATTAAGATATGTGTACGTACCTGCCTGTGGGCTGGGGCTTGCAAAATCATTTTGCAGAGTCTGCCTATTTACAGACCACACCATTCTATACCAAATCTGGTACGTTCGCCACCATAAATTCATGATTCCATCAGTCACATGTGCCAACTGAATTTGTCGATGCATTCAGAATTGACTTCAATCAGAGCACACATTTATATACGAAACCCAATCTCTAAATTCCCCTATTGTAGAATAATTCCGTTTCTTCTGTAGATGACACAATTTCCGGTTCAAGGTCTGCTCGCTTTATCTGCAACATACAGAAAAAGGGACTCAATACCACCATATCCTGGTAAGTGTATGTTAAGTCCTCATTACTGCATTGAACTTTGCACAAATTGAAATACTGTATTCAGAAGCAAGACTGTATAGGATTTGGGGTTCTTTGTTTATTTGGGGGTTTGAGGGATTTTTTTGTTTTGGGGCTTTTTTTTGCTTCTCTGACATTTTCTACATGCACACATATAAGGGAAGAAATATGTTTTATTTAAAATTAAAGGTACTCCCGAGATCTAAACAGAGCATTAGTGACATCTCCATTCACTGTAGAATCATAGAATCATTTAGGTTGGAAAATACCTTTAAGATCATCGAGTCCAACCGTAAATATATCTGGGTGACTCACCCAGGACAACTTCTGCTGTGGGCTGAGCAATTGGGAAGCTCAAAGGGAACCAACCAGCCATACTCTCAGTACATAGTTTCTCCCAAGTCCCCTTATTTATGTTCAGTTTACCCTTGTTGCCATAAGAGATTAAGAAATCTAAAAAAAGAGATTACAATGCTAAAAAGTTTAGGCAAATAAAAGAAACTACTGAAAATTGCAAGAGCCCAGTCTGTGATTTTCTGAGAATATTCACACAGTGCTGATAAGGGAGAGGAAATAAATGCAGAAAGGAACCCCAGACTCCTCTCTCACTTGGCTCTCTCCAAAGCGCAAGGGCTACGTCCTCCATTTAAAACCTGCCAGGAAGGCGTACTTTCCCAGGGAACGGATTACACTTCACAGTTCAGTAAGGCAGGGTGAAGAGATGTCGCATGTGAGTTGGTTTACCCCTCTGATGAGCTCATGCTGACTTTGCATGAAGGAAAAAACTCTCATCTACATCCTTCCTTTCTCCAGCAGGACTGAAACCAGTGCTGGAAGAGCCTTGGTTTTAATCTTTAAGACCTGACCGTGCTTCTTCAGACTGTTGTGAAAATCTGATAAATCTACATTGAAAAGTGTAAATATAAATAACACACAATTCAACTTAGACCTAGCAAGTCCTGTAAGCCTCTGCCTAGTACATGGGCCTTCACAAGCAGCCTCTCCGCTGCCCCATTTTAGATGCACAACCACATTAATCCTATTGATTTTTCCTATGTGGCTTTAAGACTGCTGGCCATAGTTGTAGAATGACTATTTAATATAACAATAATCCTAAATCAATTCCTATGAAAGGACTTACCTCCCCACACTGCGGGAACATACTCAGTGAAACTGGTAGCATCCCTGCTAGTACTGACGTAATCACAAGCATTCTCACTGAAGCCAAAGCACGTGGAGTTTTTGCAAATTTTGCTCTGTCCAAGACATTGAAAAAGTAAGTGTGTCAGTTTGGGCTCAAAAAATAATCTGACAGTGAGACAAAGAGCATTAGCTACTATTTTAGTGGTTGAAATTGCACTGAAATTAGTAATAACCTAGGCTTACGAATCCTAAAGACGTTTCCTTACTTTATTTCCTATGTTCTTACTCCTAACTTCCTGTTCTTTCCCTTTGTTTTGTATTTATCTGCAGCATTTTCCAAGCCCAGATTGTCAATACAAGATTAAGAAAATAAGCAGCAAGATCAAAGTGACAAAAGAAGAGAAGATGCATTAGCACTTTAAAGTGCCTCAGTTCTTTGACTAAGGTTTTTCTCGCATTATCCTCTTTCCTTTCAGATCTAGTTCCTCTTGGCAGTCCTACTTTGCCTTGTGCAAAAATTTATTACTCGATATATATTTAAAATTTTATCTTACATCTGCATTTATGTCTTCTGGTAACAGAAGTCCCTTAAGCTAAAAAAGGGGATAGGGAATTGATTTAGGCAATACCAAATTACATGACATAGATGATCCCTACCAAAAGCTGAGGGCAGGCTAAGAATTCTCTCATAAAGCATACAATGAATTCTTCTTACGATACAGGGTTTTTAAGTGTTGCAAAAGCAAGAACATGTTTTACAATATATGGAAAACTATTTGGAAGTTGGGATCCAGTTTTAGTGGCAAATTCAAGTGCCATATTACCTCTTCAGAAATAACAATCTAAGCTAAATGCTGTGAACAACCTTGACACCAGACATTGGGACTCAAATCAAGTTAGGGAACGTAGGTGCTGGAAAACAGCCTGTCAGGAGAGCACAAACATGCCTCCTGCATGGGAGCAGAGAGGAAACCCTCATAGTTTTACGCAACCTCCAACAGCCTGTCAGGAGAGCACAAACATGCCTCCTGCATGGGAGCAGAGAGGAAACCCTCATAGTTTTACACAATCTCTTGCAAACCCTCAAAGCATGGATGCGGACATAACCAGATTCACTTACTTTTCTAAATGAATCACAATAGCTGAACAAAATCTTCCCAGATAATCACTTCTACCAAGGCAAGTAGTACTGCAAGTGGTAACAGGCAGACTAAAAACCAGAATACACACTGACCAGGCATCCCCAGCCCTTTTGCAGTAACTCCTACCTTTCCACAAAGTACATAAGCACATCTGGCAGGAAGAATGTTGTCCCAAACAAGGCTGCTCTGGACAATGCTGTTTCTTTAACGGCCTCCAGGGAGAGAGAAAAATAAATATTGTTGAAGCAGTGCTCTGTGCAGCTTCAAATACTGCATGCTTCTGTGAGCACTTTTTTGTATAATACTCTGGAGTTTCAAGCAGCAGATTAATGAGGGATAAAAACATTTGTTAGAGGAATTCTTTCTTAAGTGGAAACTAAACTCCTACAAGTGGCAAATATTCCACTTGTGACTAAGAAATACCTTAAAAGGGAGGTGAAACTACTGATGCCATATCAAGTTTTCCTACCATGATAATAACTTTGCTGAGGCTTGCTTTTTTTAAGTTGTGCTTTAAGTATACCTTCTGGGCATCCTAACTATCCTGTGTCAAATATGAAGTTCTCTCTCCAGCCGTCCACAAATCTTTATGCTCATCTAGCTGTTTCCTCCCCTCTGGACAGCAGCATAGAAAAGGAGGGTCACTGATAGCACATAAAATATGACTCCTTGCTCTCGTTCTTGTGCCAGGCTCTACAGCGGATGTTGATGAGCAAGGCAAGGAGCAAATACAGAGTCAGCAACTGGAGCCCAAGATAAAATGCACTAGCACACTGTAGATCAGGGCATTACCCTTTGGGAGGCACGGCCTTTAAATGATATTCCCCCTATAGAAGGTGCATGTGATATGTGCAATACAGGGCTTTTCTCTGAGGTGTCCCATCAGAAGAAGGTCCAAGAGTCTCCTTCTAAGGTGACCAAGGAAAGCAGAAATGCCTGTGCTAGTGTCTCTGTGGCTCAACTCTGGCACTCTGTATATCAGGCTGGGGAGGCTGCCAACCCTTGAAGACACAAGACACGGGCCAACCTGGTTCCAGAGACCTAGTCCAAGCCTACCCAAAGATTCAGCACCTGATCTGGGATTCCTCATTTCAATATATCCAACTCTATCTACTCTCAGCACCACATTCAGCTCTTAGCAGGGAATGAAAGGCAAGTCAAGAGAGGCCTCCACCCCCTCGCCTACCTTCTCAGCAGCCTTCTGTGACAGTCCTACAACCTTGCCATTCCTGTCCATCACTTCAATTCCATTCTCAAATTCTGGGCTTCTCACCACTGCCACAGTAAATGCGCTCATCAAGCCTGCAGAGTTAAAAAGGATTTTGTTTTAAAAGATCCAAAAGGACTATCTTAATAGTAACATTTATAATTATGTGCATTTCAACAGTTCACAGCTGAATAACCTGGCAGCTTAAGAAGAGACTGCCCGATAAAAAACTACTTGGGATCTTAATATTTGTTTCAGAAGTTTGAGTGAGATTTTAAGGCCCAATCCTAAAAGGTGCTATTTATCATTATGGACTCAGGGCTTTCAATCACTGCCATCCAGCTCAAATCAACAGTACTTTGTTCTTAAGAGAAAGGGGAGGGGTTTGTGTTGTGGATAGGTTTGTACTGGTCAGCGCAAAATCCAGCACAGAAAAGAAGACCCTGATGGGAACTGACGTGAAGTAAAGGCTGCATCCCTGATTTGAAAGGGAGGGTGCCAGGGGAACACTGGCTCTAATATGTTTCATTATGGCACTTGTCTGCCCAGCTGTGTGTCTGTCGCAAATGGCAGTGCTTCAGCTGGATCCTAGATGAGAATGTTTCAGTCTCCTCCAGACCCAGCTTTACAAGGCACCTGAAAACATCCATCCCACAGTCAGTCACTGAAAACACAAACCACTGGCCCTTATAAAGGCCATATCAAATGGGAGTTAGTCACCTAGCTGGTTTTCTCCTTTCTCTTTTCTAAACCAAGGTCTAGGCATAACAGGGCATAGTCTGGCAAACTGACCTTGTTTGAAATAGTAGATTTCTCTTTTTATTAGTTTTTGACAGGGCTGTTCAATAAAGACATCAGTGTAACAGATGGCACTTTTCAAATGCTGGACTAATACTAATCAATTACCCTCAGGTTTCTCTCTATATTTAAGAAAAGGGAAGCACATTTTAACACCTGCTCCAAAGGAAACAAGTCAGAAAGCTCTTATACAGATCCTCGAAAAGATTTGGGTAGCCATCTCACATAACTTGGAACAGAGGATATGACATTTGTTTTAATTTTACCAGTTTCCCCCTAGGAAAGGCCAAAAAGTTTCTTTAATGGCATTAGAAAATCAGTTAATGATATCAAATAGTTAAACTTGTCCTGGTGCCACTTCACCATGTCAGTAGAGCTGTTCCAGTAATGAACTGGGTCCCACTACCTTGCAAGTTTAATAATACTCTGTTGTAACAACTCCCACTTTCTATACTGTCAGCAGTTAGGTAACCAGCTAGGTAGCCAGCAGCATCCCGAACCTGAGTAAGGAACTATGCCAGTGCACTCCTAGAGCTGTGTCACACTCTGGTATCATGTATGTGCCACACCAGGTCATACCAGTTTGAGTGCTACTGCCCTCCTGATCCCTTCTGGAAGTCCTGATGGTTTCAGGTATAATGTCCAAGCCAAAGAAAAATGCCAACTGCATCCCTGGATATCTTTGGAGAAACAGTTGCATGTCGTGCATACAAAGGTCAGAAGAGTGCTCTGCAGTTCTAAAACTAAAAACCAGCAAGCATCAAATAGAGCTACACTGATCAGTGAGTGTTAACTCACACAGAAAGGACAGTACCCAGCAAAGGCAGTCAGAAGGGGCAGCTAGGAAACAGTCAGACCACATCTGTGCAAGGGCAAGAAAATTCTGCAGTCAGATGGGGGCAGCAAATGGCCCTCAGACCAGCTGCGCGATGTACAGTTTGTTTATACTCACCAAGAAGAGGAGCGGGTAGAAGTTTTTTGACAACTAGTTGCGTTAACGAACTTTTCAATGTGTATCGATTCATGAAGACAAGAGGAAGAGCCTAAGGCATTGGGAGGAAACAGGCACCTTCTATTAAAAAAATGTGCAGTACTTCAGTATGTACAACTGCTTAGGAAAATAGATCTGTGACTTAATACATAGTTATCACCTATATGTTCTCTAGTTACTGAAGGTATTTGTAATCACTCTTTTAGATAAGAATACAAAATATTATGATAATAAAAGCATTAAACATTATTATGTATAGGACAATAGCAGTATGAATACAAAGACATAAAAAGGAAAACAATTACCTCTGACTAATATTTTTTGGACATCTGTCCAACTGCCTTGTGACACATACTGCTCTCTCCCTGCAACAGGACAGCTGGTGCACTTGTGCATTTGTTCCTGATTCTCTGCAGTTTCTATATTCCCATAATACACTTGCAGGAAGTTTCATTTAGGAATAAATGGCCAGGACACCAGCTAGCACTCAGATCTCCCTTGGAGGACAAAGGGGAAGAACTCCCACATTCACCCACAGGCATAGCTGCCTCCTCAGACCTCTGTAAAGTCCTGAGCACTGCTGGCCCAACTGTTTGCCTAGTGGACAGAGGTGAAAGTCCATCTAACAAAAGCAGGAACGGCCATAATTTTCTGCCAGAAGACTTATAAAAATCCCTTTTTAGTGTGGAGAGTGAGGAAATGCATTATAGGGCCATCTACACTTGCAATGAGCGTCAAGAGGACACCGGAGCTCATTCTGATGTAGCAAACTCTGGAAACCACAAATTCCTATTCCATCACAGCACAGAGCTAGCTAGGTAGCCCTCAGTGACCTAGCCCTCCTAGAAGGCTAATTAACCTGCATTCAGTGCAGTGCTTTCATGGTTGGGCTGCTTCTGGGATCTGAGCTAACTCTATCCAGTACAGATGCCTGCAGATTTCACCAATTTTTTAGAGCTAGACAGATCTCTTCCACAGCACCACATCAAAAAATTAACTATAGCAACCCAGTGAGTTACTCTGTTTGTAAACCCTGGCCATTTCCTCTCACCACCCATTTTCTAAGCTTGCAGAATAGTAAGAAAAGGACAGAAGAGGAAGCATCAGAGGAAGCCAAGCAAGGTATTGGCTGACAGATGATCAGGAAAATTCTTATTCTCAACAATTCTGGAGCAAGACATCAGAGTAGAGCATTAAAGCACAAGCCTGAAGGATATCTGGCAGTGTGATTATCTCAGCACCTACTCCTTCTCAGGAGAGCTTATTAGGAAAGCAATCACTGAGCAAATACATACACCAATACATGCTGCATAGGAAATGGCTCCCAAGCCATAGAAGATCTGCTTTTGTTGAAGCGAGTACTCCTAAGAAAGACAGAAGAAACATACTCCATAAATGCATTTGCAAAACACTTGTAAATCATGTTCAAAATGGTCTTGTACAATTAAGATGATTTCAAAAATAAAAATCAACACATACTTCAGCCTTTGCGGTACCATTTCCATTTAATAGGGTGAATCCTGTGGTATACGTGTGAAACACGAACTGCAGAAAGGAGAGATTATAAGTAAAAATTAATTTGGGATTGAGACTAAAAGACTTGTAAATGTAGAAAGGAAGAGGTAATTACCTGACAAAAAAAAGTTTCCTTTGCCCGGAGCTGAAGAGATGAAGCAATAACCTAAGAGGAAAACCCCACAAGAAAATCAGGTTTGATGAGTCTAGAAGTTTTTGGTGAGCAGTGGTGGGCTAGAGCATGAAGAGAACTGCTGTGTTACTCTTTGCAGCAGGGTCAAAGGCTCCAGTCAGCACCCAAAGCGATTTGCTTCGATTCTAGGCTAACACACTTCCTTGCCACAGATGTGACATACTCACTTTTACTATCCAATATAAAACACAGAGACACAGTGATTAAAACACTGTGTGCAAGAATATTTGGGCAAGATGCTTTCTTACCCGAAATAAAAAATGCATTTGTACCTGTGAAGCTGAAATAGATGCAAATAAAATAACTAAGAAAATAAAAATGTAATTGAAGTAGTGAATGAGAAAGGGTCAGATTGTTTTGGCTAGTGGGGATATAAATACTAGGTCTACCTGATCTAAGATCCTAGGATTTACTTCCCAACTCGGAGAGTGAATAAGAACTTCAGTTTTAATAAACCACAGCCTTTCTTGAGGTCTGGCCTACCAGGTGTGGAGCACTCCCAAAGTACAGAGTCAATCAAGATAAGGCAAATATTGAATAAGAGGAGGGCATGGACCAAAGCCTCAGAGGAGGATCAGTAATTCATTTAATATTAGTGGATCAACTACCTTTATTATTAATGCTAGCGCTGAATCTAACCACATCTATGAAAGAGCACTAAGCGGTAAATATCAAAAAGAAATCTCTGTTAATTCTATTACTGTTCTTAATGAATTTAATGAAAGTCTGGATGGCTATTATACTTTCTAGTAGTGCCATGTAAGTTCATGCTGTAATCTCTATATGCAATGACGTATCTCGGGATGTATACTCATATACATATATGAGTATACAAAGGCAAACGTATCTAAATAGATATGCATATAACTGCAGCTACAAATTTTATGAAACAAAATGGTGCAATTTTTGAGCACTGTAACAAGAATTTATTTTTATATCTTTTGTAATTTATTGACAACACCATTTCTTACTTGCAAATGCACAATCTACATAAGAAAAAATTCATATTCTGGGTCTGAAACACAGAACACAAGGTCTGACTCCTTCCTACCACAGTTCCAGTTTCTTGAGGATAAACAGAACAAAACCAGGCCTTGCTCTCAACGTCTAGAGAATTTCACCTTGCATCAGAAAGCTGACCTTCACGCATGAACAATCTCTTTGAATACTGCTGAAGGAAGGTAGCTAACAGGTTTGGACTTCCAATGAGATTCCCTAAGGGCTTGATTTCTAGATTACTCAGCAGTTCCCATAAAATAGATGTCTTTTAAAAAGCTTGTGCTGAAAATACAACTAAGAAGCCTAAAACCTTCTATTCACTCCCTCCAACCCCTGGCTTTGGAAAAATGTAAACCCTGTGGTACACTAGCATCTTTCATGATTACTCACCAATGGAAGAGATATGGGCAGGAAAGCTAAAAAGAAAGAAAGCTTCATTTCAGTAAAAATAACTGCCGAGTCTAGATTTTGAGCAAAAAATTCCCCTTACTTCCCCCCTCTAGTTTCAGGTCTAAGTAAAGCACTGCCCGCAACAAACCCACCATCGCCACGGACTTCAATTCTAACCTTTGTCTTTCATTCCTCATTCAAGAAGCCAGAATACCTGGTGACAGCTTATAGCCAAAAGAAGCCCTTTTAAACTCCACTCAAGATGGCTACTCAGAAACTAGTTTTGAACAGAAATTGCTTCTCCTCACTCTATTCAAAAAGAGATAGGTGGCAACAAAGGCTGTCACAGCTGTGAGTGGTTATACGAGATAATGAGTAAATAGCTTAAGTATGGTTATATCTGATCAACAACCTGTGCTGTCTTGGCTCCCTAAACATCACCCCAAGCAGACTTTATCTGCCACCACAGCAAGTAAATTCATACAGTAGCCACATTCATCAAGTGAAAACTTAGCTTATAGTAGACTGTTTTACACGTGGAAGGATTTGGGAACTCATTCTGTAGTGACAAAAAACAGAGACTGGTCAGACTATTTCCACCTAGCCGAGCAGATGAACTGTGGGAAAAATTCCTCAGGAGGACTGTAGGAATAAATAAATCTTCAACAGACATGACAATGCAACTAACACGGAGAAGAGTATCACTGTAGCATCACGGTGTCTATTGACTATGAGCTATTTCCCTTCGGTGTTCAGTCACATACACAAAACTTCTCTTGCGGGAACTTACCCGGAGGTCTAAACAAAACAGGAATTATCTTGTCTGTATCAGGATGTACACTGGACTTAAAAGAAAAAAAAAAAAGAAGAAAAAAATGCAAATTAGATCACCTTTGCCATACTTCAATAAGAAAGAAAAAAAGAGATTTCTATATGTTTTGTAAACTTACCAGGCTTAGCAGGAAGGCTTGTTTTGTCTAAACAATTTGAAAATTAGGTTAGTAATCGAGTTTCAGAAAAGACTGGATAAAATCTTATCTTTTTTTTCCAGTAACTTACTTTTATATGGAATGCCACATATGTATACACCCCTTTAATTAATTTTACCTTAACATTTCTCTCCATATACTCCTTGTTGAATATAGCTTACTCACATCCCATGTGCTGTGTAACAGCACCAAAGTACACATTATGGCAGAACAGAAAGTTAATTTTAAAAAGTTAAGTTAGGAGGTATTTTAAAACAGAAAACAAAAATTCTTAAATATGGCTAAAACACATATGTTAAGACTTCAGCTTTTCTGGAATCAGAGAAGTTTTTATTTCTCCTTTCAGACTTTGACACAGAAGGTACTAAGTGCCACATGGGAAGAGCCAAGCCCACAGTGAATCAAAAGAAAGACTCTCCTAACGAAGCAAGGGCTCAGCATTACTTTCCAGCAATTCCATGAGTAAGTTTTCCACCCAAGTACTGCTACTGCTCATTTTATGAGGTGTGAAACCAAACGAACCTGCCCTCTATGCAACATCATGATTCAAAATGAGCTCAGTAAGCATTTTGCATATTTATCACCTACCTATATCATCCCAGATGAGGATAGACAGGCTTAAAGCAATGATTCCTAGAGTGATCCGAGAACGTCTTTTAAACTCAGCTATATGATACACAAACCTAGCATTCTTCAGGATAATAATACTGCAATTTGGCACCAGTAGTCATCCAAAGAAATTCCTAATAGATTCATAGATTAGAAAAATCTCTGTAGTAATGAGTTTTTCTTGTCTTATCCCTTGTATCTGAATCTTAGTATTCTCTCTGCTACATCTTATACTAATAGCAACTCTTTCAGCCATGAAAAAAGACACCTCTATTTTCTATAAACTGTGCTCCAAAATACCTGTTCATTCTGTAGGGGCTCACTTAGTGTCTTTCCACTGTTTTGCAATAATAACCTGGTTCTTCTTATTTCATCCTGTATTTGAGAAAAAAACAAACCAATGAGAAAAAAATAACTCAGATTTCAATATTCTACGGTGCAATGTATCAGTTATAAGACACATTAAATACAAACCTAGAATGTCAAGCTAATGCACCTGTCCTTCAGCAAAGCAGTTAAAGCAAGAACACACCTCACCACACAACTAATTCACAGTCATAAAAACTTTTAGATTATTCAGGCCCCCTTGGTCCCTTTAAGTATCAATCCTTCAACCCATTACATAAATGCACCTGAACTTTAAGCACATGAAAAACCTCACTGAAATCAAGACCGTTGTTCTTGTATTTAAAGTTATCCATGTGTGCTGGCAAATTCAAAGATTTGCCACCAAAGCAACAATCTGATATCCCCACAGGCACCTAGATGACTATTTAAAATGAAATTCCAAACCAGACTTTTAAAATTACCAGAAATGAGTCACAACATCACTGGATGTTCCTGCACGTTCACAAATGTGTGATCAAGTTTTGCATCTTACACTCTTCCTTTAAACTTGGCTTAAGCTTTTAATTATGGAAAGCAGGTGCACTTAAACAAAGAGAATAAAACTGTAACCTCATGTAGTTATCCATAGTCTACACAAAAGCTTCCCCTCTTAGGAGAATTTATGAGATGATTTGACTTTTCTTCAACAGGCACATCTCTATTTGCAACAGTGTATTTTAATTCAAGGAGGTATGAACTAATCCCAGACCTCAAAATCCCTGAATAAAATTTTCTTGTTGGCGTTTACAGATATATAATGTACATTTACTAAATTATATTATGTGTACATACAAATATATATAAAGATATGTATTCATACCATATATGCACATACGTAGAGATGGATTAATAGATACACACAACACACTAACTCTGCAAGTGACAAGGAAATATCTCCTGTACACACATTTTGACAGTGCTCTTTTGTTTTAATGGAGCTTTCCCTTAAAAAATAAAAAAAACCCGATCAACAAAAATTCTTTTAACATACTGACCAACCAGCCGACTCTTATACAATGTGCTGTGCTTTTTCCTTTGTCACCCCTGACAAAACTATACAGAAGTAGATTGACAGAAAAGCACATCTTCCCCAGAATTTTGCTGTCGTGACAGTTCCTGAAATTTAGAAGCTACACTTTATGACTGACGAAGTGTGTTTAGTGTCACGCTTTCAATAATTAATGTTAAAATTGTGATAATCATTCTCTGGTATAAAAAGGCCCTACAAACCAGGTGTGCTCCCCTTAGGGGAGGATTCCTTTCAGTACAGCCACTTGGAGGAGAATCAGAGCTTCACGACCTTCAGATTAAGCTGCACCACAAGGATGGGCATGTGGATTAGCCAGCAGAGATTCTGGGTGCCTCTGATGCAGTTCAGCAAACCTGTCTTCCCCGAAGCTGCGGCAGCTCCACATCGAATCCAGCAGCAGATTATTTAAGAACGGCCTGCCCAGCTGCTTGCTTTATCTCTCTTTGTCTTTGGGGGTTTCCTGATTCTTAATTGGGCTAATTAAACTGTTGGCACAGCAGCCACGGTCTAAACAGGACTGCCGAAATGGTGGTGTGTAGAAATGCCATTTGTTCTATGTAATTATATATAGAAATGCATATGCGTGTATTTCTATTTCTTTTATATATATATTTGTATTTTATTTTTCCTCAGAAGCTTTGTAATGATGTTATTTTACACCTTGGCAAAGTCAAAGTTCCTAAGGCCGGTTGTTCATCCTCCTAGTACCAGCCACGTTCCGGGG